CCCCAGTTCTGGTTGTGGTTCAGATCCAGACGGTAGGAAGTAAGGAGTTCAAGTTTCGTCGTCCTCCGAACTTTATCCCGAAATGCAGTAAGTAGTAGTTCTTGAATCTGGGGTAATTCCATCCATCCCATCCCATTCCATTTCGTTTCTGTTTTGTTCGTTGAACGGTTCTTTCTCTTTCACTAACTAGTTATCCTAGTAAATAGTTTAAAACAGTAACTAGTATTAGCTAGTAGTAGAACAAGGTAGTAGTATCCAATCCCATTTCCCCTCTAAGCGCGGAACAACGACCTTAAATCCCATTAGTCGGAGGAGAGTTTCACATCTCCTCTCACAAATCGGAATTGCTTTTTTTTCCCCTTTCCTATTCTGTTCAATGGATAGAATGGCAACTGATAGCGATGACAGAAAGTCTAATTAAGTGGCTGGTCTTTAGCTACTAGTAATAGATAGTAAGTAGTAAGATTGCGAATTGGACTTGTGGCACTTTTGTTGATCGTGCGGGGTAAAGGTGCCACTAGTAGGTTTATCTGTTTTATCTATTTGATTATCTGTCTGGGGGGAGGTTGGGATAGGCTGGGAGAGGTGGTGGCGATCGAATCACTTCCGTATGGGGTGATGTTCTCTTGTGTCGCGTGCTCATGGATTATGGATGGGATGGGTTATGCTGTGTTCAATGCTGGTTGGGTTTGGGGTAGTTGGGGTTTGATGATGATGATGATGGCAATGATGGTGGATGGTGGATGGTGATTTGATTGATCGGATGCCAGTGGGTTATCTGCCGATAGGAGTGATACGGGAGTACTTGGTACTACGGATATATGGATATATATTATGATTTCTTGTAATCTATCTGGTGGAAATGAGATATGTCCTGTCTGGGACTGACTGGTCTCATACTATTTTGTTTATGATTGTGTCTGTGTCTGTATCTGTAGATGTCTGTATACTACTGTAGTAACTAAGTAGACCACAAGCATAGAGATAAGGATAGATACCATTCTACATAATGATGAGACTATCATCTCCAATGGTGCAACATCCTCCATCCCAAATCCTGGTACTAGATAACCGTTTCCAACCTTCTTCTCCTCCCTGACTGGCTCCTTATCCCAGGTTCCACCGATACACACCGCGCCCGCCCAGAACAACCACGATAGGGTGTTCCAGCCATCAGCACCGCCCTGTTCCATTCGGCAGATAATCATCCCGATAAGGGGAGAACAGACCAGAGCAGGCAGTATCTAAGGTTCAGCACCCGGGGTTTCCATGAACCTAGTCATTGTTGAGAAATTTGGCAAGTTCCAGGCAGTCAGGATTATCCATTTCTTCCACTGGGTCACGCTATCCCGGTTCCATGGGAGAAATGAATGTTAGCGGGAAACCTTGGGGATGGCGTGAGAGAAGGGAGAGAGAGGAGAGAGCCAGGTGACCTGGATCACCTGAGAGGCTAAAAGTAAATACTTTGTACAGTAAGTATGGGACTGGACTGGGCTGGGCTGGGATATAGGTCATTCGGATTCCTGGGGCAGAAATGGAACCAGATGGAATCTCATGGAAGATTTAAACTATTCTCTCATACGAAGAGCTGTGTCAGCCACCATCAGAGATCCAAAGGAACCGAGAAGGATGATGGATGATGGATGATGAGGTGGTGGTGTTGGTGGTGGTGTGGTGGCCTGGCAAGTCTTGCTCGGGGGCTTATCGCGTGATGCGTGCAAAACAGCCACCTGGCAGAATGAATAGCGGGAACTTAATGGGAAAAGAATTCCTTAGTCAGAAGGAAAGGCCCATCCACGTATGCCTGAGGTCCTTGGTTTTTCGTTGTACTCTTTCTTTTGAGGGTGACCACCTCATCGTCCCTTGGCTGCCTGCCTACTGCTGCTGCCCATCGGCGTGTCGGAGACAGGCAAGCCTGCATGATCGAGACACGCAACTCTTTGCCAGCTGCAAGGACGAAACCTTCCCGACACTTGCTCGGGAGGCGGTCAGTCTGGCACTAATGCACCTTCGTCCTTCACCGCCAGCATCGCTTTGCTCATGCAGCCCCGGAAAGAAAGTTGCCAGCCACGGGGCGCTGCCAGTGCTTGCCGTTGCTTTGCCAGTGTTTTTGTGTTGGCTGTTTGAGTCGCACTTAGCAGGCACCATGTTATTGATTATAGTTATTTGTTTATTTATTTTAACTTTTTATTATCTTTACTCAATTTCCTCATTTAGTCTCCGAGCCTGTATCTCCGTTATGTATGTATGTAGGAAGAGGGATATTTCCATCCATTCACCTCGTTCCAATTGTCCACACCTTATCCACAACTACCTACTGGCTGTACACAGTAGTTATTAGATAGTAACTAAGAAGTAAAAGTACCATAACGGAGGATAACTATGATCTTGCCGATAGTACAACCCGAAACGAACCCTGAGCAGATTAACATACTCTGCTACATACCTCCTGTCATATGTTCACTCATTACTCCATACATCCAAAGCAAAAAAAGAAAAAAGAAAAACAAAAAACAAAGTCTCCACCCCGATCGATAGTACGATACGATTGCCAGATTAAAAGTTGGCCCAGGAGTCTGTCTGTCTGTCTGAGACGTAATCTCCCTCCCTCCCGTTTAACCCCGCAAATCCTGTTACAGATGATGGGCGAGTTGAAGGAAATCCCGCGCGGTAAACAGGATCAACGTGGATCACGCAGGTTTTGTGCAACAACAATTGACGTTGTTGTTGATTGATTGATTGATTCAAAGGGGTTGGTTTCCCTGGGTTATCTGGCTGGCCTGGACCGAACCACACACACCAAACTTTGCAGTTGTGAACTGACTCAACTGCCTTTCTTACACTGAACCTTAGGTACCAACTCTTGGGTTGGGAAAAGGTACCTGAAGCGGTGCTGAGCATTTTAGGTACTTACTAACTCTTACTCAGATTGATTTTAGGTACTTACTGGCTTACTTGGTTTACTACCTCGTCGGGTAGATATTTTTTCTTACTTTCTTACTTGTCCATGCGGATAAAAAGTAAGAGAAAAGTATCCAGTCATATCATATCTCTCGTATGATCGGTGATACCTGAGTATCTTCAGTAGTACTCTGTATCTACGGCTAACTCTCGGAACCTAGGCTCTAGTCTAAGTAGTAAGTAGTAGTCTCCTCTGATGATCGGCGCGCAGCAATATCCGTATCTACCGACAACAGCTTCTTTCCCCATATTACTCCCTACTAGTCTACTGTGTCACAGTTGACGAAGGTCCGGGATCATCCTCCCGGGCCTTTTTTCAGAACAGCCGACCCAAACGTATGGTCAATTATTGGCCACGACTTCGCGCCAGTCGTTGCTTGCTTGGGGCTGGCGTCATGCAGCCTGGAAATAGTGGCCAACGGGGCTTCCGTGTGATTGGGTTCTGAGGGATCCACTGTAGCGTCACTCAGGTGGTCGCCCGCCAACTCCAGGCACCCCCCGGATAGGGACTAGACCAGTATGGATCCGTATTCGTTACTTTACTTTACTTTACTTTACTTAGTCATAATGCCAAGTGCCACTCTTGATTGGATTTGTTCCCGCCGCCTGCATCGGCCGAGGACTGGGGAGAGTGGAAATGCTCTGAAAATGGAAACATGATAGCGATACGTAGTCTAGGTGCAATCATCGCGTGTTCAAGTGTGTCTCCATCGTCACCGATTTCTGGTGGGGTGGTGCTCTTTTCCCGTTTTACTGTTAGATGGATGGATTTAGGATCGATCTGATCTGGTCTGGTTGGGGAGGGAAGAGGGGAAGGAGAGCGGGCCAGTCGGTGATCATTACCTTACCATCGCATTGATGATGAAGACGATGGTTATGATGATGATGGGTATTACGAAAACCGCCGCCCCCTTGTTGTGTTATTTGACGAACTGGGCTCAACGGAAATAGTTAGTTATACCTCGAATGCATTATTCCTTCATTGTCAATTGTTTGTAAGGTTTGACTTGGGGGGAGAGTCATGGGGTTATCACCCGGAAGATTTTGATTGTATCCATCTATCAGGGAACATGGCAAGATGGATGATGATAAGTGACGATGAAGATAGGGAGATAGCATAGCTCGCTCGGATGGGGGGGAAGAGGGGGGAGACCCTGCCGGGACCTGCAGGAACTTAGCTTAGCCGGTTGACTTGGTGCTGCCTTGGTGCCCAGGGCGTATCTTCCATGTCCCCTGCTCAGGCTGTAGTCTACTCACGCCGTCTTTGCTTGGGAGGTAACTCTAAACCGGCGCTTAACTTGAACTTTTGTTCTACTGCACCAATTGAAGATTAATGAATATACAGAGTATATTAACTTTTGTTTATCTAATGGTCATCAACAATTTACATAAATTAGTTCAAAGTTAGTGATTGATTAATTACAGTCAGCAGCCGTTGGTGTTGGCAAGCTGGCCGCAATCAGGACAGGTTACATGTACCTGAGTCTGGGGGTTTGCGGCACCTACTACATAATACATTTCCCCAACAAGCTAAAAAACAAAAAATAATGAAAAGAAAAATGCCTCGGGGAATTGACGCATTCAAATGACACCTGCCTCCCAGCCCGTCATTTTAGAACTGCAACAAATCTCGTCATTAAAATGCCAAATGACAGTATCACTATTTAGAAAAAGCAGTAATGGAATTGAGACGACCCGGCAACAATGGCAGGGGATGACTCAAAGGGAGACAGCAGAAAAGTGGAGGAATGTTCTGGCTGCTGAGGTGATTGATAGGCAGCCAGGAGAATAACGCCTTCGTAATCAATGACTGGAACGCTACTGAAACATTACTTGGAGCCCATTAACGGCTTCTCGGAGGCAGTGATTTCCGTGCTCAACCATCCATAGATAGTAATATCCGTAAATAACTGGGAATTTTTATTTTTATTATTATGATTATTATTACTATTGTATTATTGATTGACTCTGATGCCCTGTAACTGGATGACCATAATTTGGAGAGAGAAAAGAGAGGGGGGAAATTCGGAGACACGACTTAATTGAGTCAACCAAGTCAACCAAAGTTGGTACCGCCAAAAGGGTCGGCTTTTCCATGACGCTGCGGGTATGGATACTTGCCAGGACAGGCAATGCTGAATCACCGCCGCGCGGATTCTTCTGGCGAGAGGAAAAGGGAAGGGAAGGGAAAACAGTCATTCAGGGGGGCGCAGAAAGAGGGTGTGGAGTCGATGGCCGGATGCGGCCTCTTTTTCTCGACCTGCCACCAGTCAAGTGGGTCGGCCGGAAGATCGCACGTACAGTATTGTTACCACTGACCACAAGGGAAATGGGGGTTGCCGGGTACCATCCTCACAGGCACTTGGCCCGATTGGGGAGTCTGGAGTATGCATGAATACCGTAATAAACACCCGTGATTGGCCAGCAGGCCACCCACCCTGGAACCAAGGCGACGTAGGAGGTTCTCGCTCGTTCGCCCACTTTCTCGCCATCGCTGCAGGTTGAGTGGGTTTGTTTCCCTTTCCCTCCCCCAAGGTTCCGAGTGTCGCCCCCCATCCGACTAGCCGTGCCTAGGAATATGAGGAAATACTTACTAGTATGGA